ATCGTGCGCCAATCAATCATCATTGTCTTTAAAAGGGTAAAATTAGCAGGATTAATGGACATTATTTACCCGAGACATAAACAGCACATTTCCACAACACGACTACTGTAAATATTTAAAAAGCTTGGAGTAAATTTTGCGTTGAGGCATTTCGATGGACCTGCTGTGTGACCAACGAAATGGTAGGGGTGTGATTAAGGGTCCTTGCAAAACCGTACAAGCATATTTTATCCATTGTGGCATTCAGCGACTAGTTTCTGATAAATATAGCCTATACAGGTCTACAGAATATTGCAATTGCTTAAGATTGGTTAATACACAAAGAGGCTACCACTATCTGAAAAGTTGTACCAACGAATTTGGAAAATCCGAAATCACCATGGGGAAAAGTGGGTGGCTTAGGATGAGAGAAAGCAATATCCCTCAAAATAAGCATCCATGGAAGTGGAATCAAGGTTAGACAAGACGAATGAAGTGATAACACCAACTGAATCGATGCTAAAAGCTTCACATCAGCCTAACTGCATTTCCCTTACCGATCATCATCATTACCATCCACCTTCTATATGCCTGTTTGATACTCTAATATGAGTGCTTGAAGCTTAGTTATAGCTGTCATAGTTGTGCAAGGTGCCACACACAATGGAAGGAGAGTGATAACGGTATACAGTAAGCAGTGTGGTCTGCTTCAGCATCTTGTTACAACTTGTGAGGTCTCATAAGATGCATACCGTTGGTTGTGTTCATGCATTTTAGAGGACGGATATGCGGCAGCATTTATTGTGCTCTCCATCTTGTTCCATACGTTTTGAACATTTGTGCACAAAAAGTCAGTTGTACTAGCCTCAAAGATGAGAATCAAGTGGGTCTGCTTCATGGTCGTAAACTCGACAGTTCAGCAGGGCTGTAGAACCTTCTTAAATACCGAATGTTGCGTGCATTAACAGATACAAAGTTTTAAAGTGGTAAGTCGTGATACCTCACTTTTTCATTAGCATCAGAAAATCTCATCGCCTGTCATCCCCAAATAGTTGATTTACCATCTACCGGACACTTCCGGGGCACGCATCAGTTCACGGCCAGGTGAGTAGGCCTGCCTCACGTTTACTTGCTGACTACCCTACGCAAATCACGTCTGAATTGTACACTTGATCTGATGAAATCTCCACTCAACTCCCCCTGTAAATGTAGCCAGGACTATAACGCAAGATCTTACATCATATCTCACCCCGCCGCAAAACTTAGCCGTGAAATCAACACTTGGGTTAGAAGAAGACAACTATAGACACTGAGGTTTCATCATCACCTTTCACATTTCTCCGGAGACATCTTTATGAGATTCAAGTTGTGATTAGGAGATCCTTTTGGCAATGCATTTAACAAACACAATCGCTTGACGAATGGGAAGTTGACGTTTTGGAAGTACAAGTAAGGTTGCGGCGGAGATGGGAAGACCAAATCTGCCTTCTCCATGACTTCCGTATAAAAGCCTATTAAAAAGGGGGATTTGCAAATTCGAGTCCTGTTGATGGAGGAGAGAACATCATTATTTCCATAAACTTTGCACACAAACCCATTCGGTTCTCTCATTGGCCTAATTCAGCATAAACATGTCAACAGAGACTTTTTGAAGGTTTTGCTTCACTTTGTTTCGTCCATTCTAGGGTAATGACAAAGCGCTTTCGTCTTGCCTGCTGAGGACGTTTGGAAAGTGAGTAACCCCAAAATGGCAAAAATTTGTGCTATTCCGGTGGAAATTTTAACCAGAGAAGATTTCAAATGTTCGGCTGCACTTGTGAGTGTCAATGGGACAGAAATCACCCGGAGATTGATAGAACAGATAATTAACTGTTATCCAGGCTACAGTCGCAAGTAAAGAGCTTATGTTTTTTCAAGTGCTGTATAGAATGATTTCCGACTGGAAGGTCTAAGAAACATCTTCTTTCTCATCACTGATCGCAGCATCATTACAACATGATAACTGTTTGTCGAGATTTAAAGACTTGTTTTGATTTTTAATTCATAGGCTCTCACGCCACACACTATTTTATCTTAATAATTAGAAAGTTCATTTCCGACTCACATTTCTCAAGAGTCTCCTAAAATATAATTTATGCTAAGTCGTTTTGGACCTTTTTTAGTGTCTGCGCTCAGATTTTTCATTTTTTTCTAAATAGTAACCTACAATTTCAAAGGTGAATGCACTCAAGGCCTCCAACGCTTCACCGTGCAAACACTTTCTTTATACTATCCTTGATTTCACACAAATTTTTGGGTCAGTGGCATTACTGTTTTGAAAAAAAGTATAAAAATTTATTGGTTAAATAAATAAGACTGCATCTGTTACAAGTTTGTCACGATTGGAGTGAACTTATTGCATGATATAAACCTTTGGGTCTTAATGAGAAATCTTCATTTATTAAATTGGCTAAATGCAATTTTTTCATTCCTGATCCACAAAAACTTTGGCATTGAAAGCGGACCACACGAAGCGTTGTATACGAACTTACAATACGCTAATATTCCAGCAGGAGAAGTTACCTAACAATATTTAGTAACCACTCCTTAATCAAATTGATGTGCGGTATATGAAGTGCGTACCAATAGCTCTTATCCATCACCCATGCGGGCCTTGACATAATGTTCGACAAGTTAACAGGGCGGTTCATTTAACATTTCGGAAGAATTTAGCTAATCAGGTCAATAAAGGCGGTCTACCTTTCTCGTGCTCCCACGCTGGACACCGAAAAGCCAGTTGCTGCTCGAAAAACCTACCTCTCCCCTTTTGCATTGCAGAACCTCCTCTATTGAACCTAAGTCCATATTATTTGGAAGGCTTTAACTTTGCACAAATACCCCAACCTCTTCGTTTTCACCTCTGCTAAGCTTTTATGCTGGCTTTACTCAGAAAAGTCAATGGACTTATCTGGGATGATTATTCTAGCTTTGTACGATTACTTCAATGTGCGTTTTTTTATGCCAAAGTAATTATTTGTAAAACTGATTTACAGTAGCCTATTCAAAAAGACCAATTTGAAAAACAATTTACCTTTTATGGTTTTAAAGCGAAAATTTATTCCCCATTTATCACCATTTGAATGAGTCGACTGGCTTTGGCCTTATTTGGACTTGTAGTATCCAATATGCTAGCTATATCTCTAGGTTTGTTTATAATTTTTTGGGTTATCCCAAAGTATCAACACCTCTGGTGTTGGTATTGTGCTTTTCCATCATAAGAAGCACCTTACTGCAAAATGTTATTTGACTTTCTGTATCAAATCTGCCTCTTGTTGTCAAAGTCTTTTACCTCAAAAATGAATCTTCTGAGGCAAGAAAAAATCCAGATATATGCCCTTTTAAAATAAATATTCACCACAAATAGAGACAACAGACAATATCGAGACCCATTGCATACGGTGAGCTATTGGAGTTAAAGGTGATAATTTTGTCCTACACAATTGTCACCCATTCTTCTCACCCACATTTCTCGTTAATTTCGCGGTGTACATAATAATATTAGCAGCGAAAAGTCATTATCAAATGAAAAATTGATTATGAAATCATCTTTTCTGAAGTAGCAATAGAGTTTATCTATAACGAATTCGTTTCGTACTTTCTTTTGCACACTTAAAGGCACCTAAGGGTACATTTAACATGCAGGTCAAGTTCTCAACCGTGGTGGCGATGAACCAGGGTTTGTGAGTTTTAAGTGGGACGCTGTGTTTGGAAACTATTATGTATTGCTTGCCCATGAAAGTTTATTTAATTTTCTTTCTTTTGAGAAAACCTACCTCAACAGATCGCTCCCAACTACCTTTCTAAATTTAACCCCCATCAATACTTAATATAGGTAAGGGAATCAGTGGAGTCGGTTCCGTTCGGTTCGTCTATTTCCCAAAATACTAAGCACATCAGATTCATCGGATTGTGCAAATGTTTTCAACACACTCCCAAGGTTTGATTTCAGCCAATCACATGCCACTGTGTGCAGAGATCCACCGACTAGCCAATCACCAAACAGAATGTGTCAGCGATCACAGTGATTAAAGAACGCTATGCACCTTAATGGTCTAACTACTCCATCATTTATCTTTCTGCTAGTCTCCAGCCTACGAAGTTGATGCCTTGCAGAGACTTTCCCACATTTTTGTAGTCAATCTCTGTTTTCTTGCTACATAATGAGTGATACTTCGAATAAGACTCCAAACCCAAAAGAATCTCCTCCGTCCCAAAATGCTGATGCTACAACGGAACCAGATAGTTGTGGTAATGCAGTCGATCCTCCAGTTTCTGAGAAGGAGTACCTCAATGAATGTTTCTCATTCCTTTTCTACGTCTACAATGACATGTATTAAATATCTGATTAACAGCACATTTAATAAAGCGACATTTACTAATGTGGACCCACTCATTCGGTGTATCTCTGAGTGAGAGAGTTACCGAGTAAAAGAATTAAGGGTGGTAGTATTGAAAATGACATCTTTTGGTAAAGTGGGGGTGAGGTTGGTGTTGCTTGTAGGGAAGGTAGGTAAGTCACGGGTGTCTTGTGTAATTAAAAACATAGCCTACTTCCATTTAAAAGAGGGCAGGCATCATCACTTGCACAAAGTCACTACCTCTTCATCTACCTAACGTAGGTGTGCACACATCTGCACACCCACGCATGACTATACAGACGCAAATACACATCTGCCAACAGTTACTTAGCAATTGTTGTCATTCTTTTATCCAATCCGGGGATTTCTCGAGTATTTCTGCTAGTTGTGGTTGTTTGTTGACTTACTGTTCAGTATCTACGCCAGTTTCTCAAATTTATCTCCTAAAGGGATTTGATTGTTATTAGACAAATTTCACAGACTAAAGGACATATATGAATTTGATCAATGGAGGGTCCGAATAAGTTAGCAGAGATATGTTGATGGATTTGATAGGGTCTTATGTCGACAGTTTACTTATTCTATGACGTCTTAAAAAGGCTTCAGGCGCTCTGGGTTACCTGATGAGATTCAGCTTACATAATAGTTACAAATTCTTGATGTATTTACATTGTTTCTATCAACTTACTTATTCGACGAACATTTTCTGAACTTCTCAAACAATCAAACCCCAAAAGAACCATTTGAACAAGGTTGTGAAATACCAGCTGCTCAATCCTATCGTAGTCACATGCATGAAAATACTAGATAAACAGGCGGCCAAACTGCTAACAAGAGTGGGAACATTGCGCTATCAACCAAGATATCACTTAGCAACGCGACGGTGACATAGAAGGTCTTCCATGAAGAAGTGTAAACCACCCTTTTGATGAAGTTTAGCCCCTTATCATGGGAAATACCATGCTCTGGCGAGTTCAAGTTGGTCCCGTTGCAGGGGCTTTGGCTTTTCCCTCGAATTGGCATAGCTCCTTGTGTTTTGTGCTTCTGACTTTTGCTCCCGAACATTTACATTTGCGCATTTTCAAGTACCTTTGCTACAATCCCATTTAATCTTTGCGTTTAGACGAGATCGCATGCAAATGCATAAGAGTGCGAGAATGAGGCAAAATGGTTTATATTTGCTTACTCAAAGTTGAGACGTTCTATTCTGCAAGATTTGCTTCTTATTAGAAGGCTTTGATACAACTTCCAGTGGAAACTGCCTTCTTTAATGAAAGCGGCGCCATACCACTGCTGCCCACAAATTGGCAACTCACGTTTACTGAATATAACGAATCATGTAGAACTTTGTGTTGGGACATATCATCGAGGAAATCTACATTGCTACAGAACGAGGGTTATCTGCAGAACTTCGATCACCCATTAAATATGGATTGTTAATTTATTAATTCTTTGATTGTAGAAGTACCTGAACTACTCCAATTTGGCATGCATCACAGCCTGAAGTTGAGCTATAACGCATCCTGCAGTATGAATGTTATTTATACATTTACCACTTTCACATAGGTAAAAAATGGATATTTTTAGAGCATGAACCAACAAGATTTCAAGGGCCACCATAGCCGATCTGGCAATTAGTGTTCGTAAACATACTCATGTAAGCCCTAAGTGCTACCTTCTCCACCACACGATCACCCACTCCACTGACAACTATCATGCTGCATTTTCGTCTGTGACATTCATTTTCCTTCCTCTATGTGTCAAGTTACCTCTAACGACGAGATTGTCTTTTGCAAAGCCCATTTCCTTCTTGTTAGCTAGCCTAAACGCCTCTATGCCCACCTACTTACCCCACTTTTCATGATGTGCACAGCCCCAGAAAATATTCTTTCTCGCGGTGCATCCCAAACAGAGCCAAAAGTTCTGATCAGGTTGTTTACACTTCACTAAAGATAAAGTTGTGCAAGTGGATTAGGTCATCCCAAAAGTTGGGGAGAAGGATCTCGTGATAGGTGTTTGCCCCATGGTTGGTTACCTTGAGAAGAGAGTTCAGAAGTGAAGCACGCTCCTTGAGCAGGCATGTACTTTCTTTGCCCTTCTTTTTAGCTACCTACATATACACATAGGCGTGTTACAATCTCAGTGACTCAATTAATTTGGCTTCTGAGTATGGGCTTTTAATTTGACGATTGTTAGGATAAGTGACCAATACCTCTAAGGCAAATATTACCATTTAGCACAGTACAGGAAAAAGCACTGTTCTTGTCGGTCACCCTGTACTGCATTGCAGGACTG